TTGAGCATTTTGCACGATTGAAAAAAGCTGCCGTCGGTTGCATTGTCGCAGTTCAAGCCTAGTCTGGTCACAATCTGAGATAACACTCTAAGGTTACACGTGAACACAAGCAGTGATCATTCTTTACATACTGTGCATATAATCAGGAAATACCTGTCAGCTCGAGAAAGTTTCAAATGTTTCCTCCACCCATAGCCAGCGCCCTCTGCACGAAACCCTGAGGTTTGTACCTGCAAGTTAATGTTGCAAGCAATCTCTGGATATTTTCCTGAACCACACGTTCCTTTTTGTTCTTAGTTTACTGCATGTGGAATTACCCTGCTTGAGGAACTACATTACATAAATAAAAACCTACATTTGCTATATACACACGCAAGTCACATATTGCAAAAGACAAAGCTTTCACTTAACGTTCATATTTGACAATTTAAAATTTTACCAGCAAAATATGGAAGAACCATTTAAGTTAATAATTCCCAATGATTACTGACAAGGCATTTAAAAAGTGGTCTACAAACGTTACCTTAAACATGTTTTCACAACAATGACAATGTCATCTCAAATGTAGATAGCGCACATAGATATGTAAAAAAAGGTTCCAAGTCCAATTGTCTCCACGTTTAAACACACAATGCAATACACAGACAATGTATTACATAGGCAAAAAAACCATATGCAGAAACTATCACACTAATACTTTATACGCACAAAACAGAGATAAATTGAGAGGTGCACACAAAACCAGAAAGAAATGTTAAAACATCAAGCATGGACACGAATTAGAGCAAATCCAGCCTTGTGTAACTCACACATGCATCCACAACAAAGATCCTCCCAAAGATGGAAACGCTACGCTTATTCAACAACATTCAAGATCCCTCCTTCTTTGTAGTGGCGGCATCCATAAAACAGCCAGTGTTTCAATGAAAACTTGCGGTCACAATTATGTGCATAAGGAATGTTTTCAAAACTTTGATTCGAGCCACCTAGCCTGACCACCCTGGGACCCATGTTTTCATGACCTGTTCTGCACAAACCAGAGCGGCTCTTGAGCCAAAACGGTGGCCAAACGGTGCCAATCCGAACTGAGTCATGTCCCCCACACACACAGAGCGGTCCTTGTGCTCTCATGTTCCACCCATGTGCTTCTCTTGCTCTAGCCCCTACTCCTTACAGCCCAGTCACCAACCACGGGTGAGCACACCTCGGCTCGGCAGGACATCCACTGTGTGAGCTAGCAGCAGCGGCGGTAAGAGGGTTACAATATCCCATCATCAACTTGGGTTTATAACAATATTTCAGTGTAGCATATACAAGGTTTGTCTCCATCGAGTAAACATCCGTTTTCAGAATAATTCTTTAATGTGTTCTTTTTACATTGCATTTTGGTGATGGTTGACATGTGAGGATTTATAATCTGAAATCTATTCCTATGGCCATAATGTATGCATAAACTAATGCGTGTAAGAAATTATTGTTTACAAAGTATGACAACTATATGCTATTGTTACATTTTGTCTAACATAGCTCGAACAAAACGAGCGAAACAGCAAAAACGAGACATGGAAAATATATTATCGTACGGAATGGCAAACCGTAAGTTGTGACTAATAAGCGAACCGCAGAGGAAGGGGGTGGGGGATCGCCGCATGCCTTGTGGCTGAGAGAGGTCAGTTGCGTTCAGGCTCATGCGTGACTGAGGCGGTGACCCAATGACACCACGAGTGTTTCTCGGGTCAACACGGTTGCCCAGGGCATCATCACCCTTGCATAAGTCTGGTCCTGGGCCAAGGCCCCGAGTAAGCTTATGACGACTTAGGCACTACTTATAAAGTCGTAGGGACACATGGACCTTGGCAGTGAACTAAGCGTTGCCATGGTGTGGCACACGTGAAAGGTGTCATGGAAACAGAGGATAGTTGGGCAAGTAAAGGGAACTCCTGTGGAATGGAGATGAAAATAAATAACAACCTTATCCTTCCACAATCTTGTTACACACCAGTAGTGGAAAAAGCCATGCTTCTAAGAACACAAAAGTAGTATAAAAACCAATCAATGTTTGTTGACGAACCACAGGTTCTGCAGATATTGCAACCGCTAGCCCTCCCTCTGCTTTAAAACCGCAGCGACCAAGCATTTTCATTCGGTCAGGTATTTTCGTTTTAACAAGTGCAGCACCAACCTCTGTGAAATACTATATTAGAGAGCATTGCACATGTATGTATTTGTAACACCTGCCACGCACAGCATAACACACATCAAGTAACACAAGTATATATTCAAGCATGGTAGTAAGTAAACACATCTTTGGCAGTTCCATGGCCCACACAATACCTGTCGACGACGTTTCATCGATAACATTTGTGAGATTTTTGTTTTAATTGTTGCACAATATTGGTCTCATCCTGCGAGTAAAGACTGACTGGACTTGAAATGCATACTTCACATGGAGTCTAAAAGCAGAGCAATAGCCAGGTAAAAAACAGTGAAAACAGATAAAATCACCTGCTTTCATTTAATCTCACTACGCTCATCTCTATCCAGCGAGCTGCAATTGCTCTGCTCTGCAAGCAATTCACTGCAAAGCCGTAAGTGCTACATTTAGCACTGACTGACCAACATCGGCTGACTGAGGATTTACCCGTGCCGGGAGCATAGCACCCTGGAAAAGGAGTTAATCTCTCATCTATTTTGGTTTTCCACTATGGCAAGTCCACGCTTCCTGGCATCACACCACATCAATATGTAAAGTGCCAGCATCGCACGAGAAGTCAGGGAAAGCAAGACTCGTGAGAGCAGGGCCTTTGGGAGACCACGGTGTCAATTATCCCTTGAATGGCAACAGACATTAGGTGAGTGTGTCCTCTTACTTGTGTTAAATATTGATCATTTGAATAAATACCAATACAATTAGCAGGCATTTGCAAATGTGTTTAACTTTAGATTTTTTAAATCAAATAACTTATAATTTTCTTGAGTAGAAAGTGAAGAAATTCCAAGGTCTGCTCGGTGGAGATCATTGTCACTAATTTCAATGCTGCTACTCAGGTGCGTTAAAGTCAGCGAAGTTCAGACCAACAGACCACTTGAGATTTTACACGTAGTTTTTTTTTTAAGTACAGGCAGTCCCCGAGGTACGAACATCCGAATTACAAATATTCGCACTCATAAGATGTTATTATTTTTAACCATCCGGCTTGCCGATAACTTCGGTCGTACTTACAAACCGAACCGCGGAACTATTTTATTCGGCAGAGCAATCCTCCACAAGATGTAATTAGTCCCAGTATCCCGTGTGGTGTACAACGATACAGTATTTTTACAGTATTACATGCAAATGTACAATATCTCTTCATAATGCTCGCATTTTTTGTTGAACCATAACACATTTTAAGACACAGACCGGACATACAATTAAATATTGATTTACGAGACAAACAAATAGACTTAGAAAGAGGTCTCAGCAATGTAAGTCGAGTAAGAGTTTACATCATAATTTGATAAAATTATTGTGGTGTTGCTATTTAGATTTTCTTGCTATTTAGGTAACATTTATAACTAAACAATGCAAAATGTATTGCTTAGAAGTCAGCTAAAAGTTCCACTGGTCTATACACCGAGGCTCTCCGATGTTAAAAGCCCTCCTTTCAAAATCCAACAAGGGTAACATGCCCGGTTGTTGCAGGCTTTACAGTGACAGCCAGCAATGTTAGAGCCCATTCATAGGACAGCACTTGGAAGGTGGCTAGCCGGAGAAAATGAATGCAACCCATTAATGCGAGTGTTGACAGTGCCCATCCATGTGAGACATTTAACTGTTGACTATCTAACAGCGCATAATGACTTGGCAGAATGGAAACGCCATGGGATGATCAATGAGTCTGTCATTACATAATCATATTACATGTGGGCCACAAACATGTAGGGCACATTTTTCGATTCACTGTTGGATGAGGGCCTCCCCATACCGTGCAGGCCATGAGGGTGATTTGACCATACTTCGCCACGCTGGTTAGCGCGGTTCGGTGGAGGTGGGTGGCGTATAGAACAATGGCATTTGCTGTACTGCCCTCGACTGCACACAGCACTTACTACACCTGTTTTTGTGCCCGGTGGTCACCAATACAAGCACTGACCATGATCCATCCTGCTTAGCTTGCAAGCTCACATGGGATTGGGCACATTCTGGGTTATTTGGTAATAGGCAGCAACAAAAACATTTTGCATTTAATAATAGTTTGCTGTGAAAAGGTATCAAGGTTATTATAATGGGACTATTGTCAGGTTTTATTCAACTGGAATTGAGATGTGGTCATGATTTAAATCTATATTTGGGTTACTCAGTAAAATCTGAACCGAATGCGAATCCATAACACTCATTCTCTTCTAACTTCCTAATAAGGAACTTTACTCTTCCAACAATTGGCTATGGGTGTCAACATCAAAAATGGGACAGGATGGCAGTTGTCTCGGTTGAACGATGGATAAAGAAGTGTAAAGAGCACTGCAAGGAGACATCAGAAAGGGATCAATGTAGTTCTGAGGCCTTTGTGTTAACAGGAAAATTCTGGACCATGAGCCAGGATATCCATTGCATTCAACGTGCTGGAAATTGTCCAACACGGCGCTACGGTGGCGATTTTTTAACTATCTCGTCTGGTATCCCGACCCTGACGCCCGGATATTTGGAGTTTGCATGCCCCCCCCCCCCCCCCGTGGTCGCATGGAATTTTCTCCGGGTCCTCTGGCGTTTCCCATCACATTTATAATCAACATGCATTTAGAGTATTTGGCTGCTATAAATGTCCACCTGATAAGCCACTTTTTGTTCAGCTATCATTTGGGGCCAGGTCACTTGTGAAAAAAAACTAGAACTCAGTGGATCTTCCCTGGTGAAATAAAAATAGTTTAGTTTATAGTTTAGTAAAGTTTAACTGAACAAAGCACAACAAGGGCATGCTCGCCGCAGCGGAATCTCGACGCGCGCATGCGCTGCTCACCTTGAGCCATGACCTCAAACTCGAGGAAGAGCGCGATGCCGTACAGCTCCATGGCCTCCTCGACGCGAGACGGCAGGCAGGCTGAGGCGTGCAACTCGCCAAGCGCACCGACAGACACCGGGCTGCCGCAGGCAGGTGAGGAGGGCGGCGCCACCAGTGCCAGGTCCAGGCAGTCGGTGTACATGCAGTGCAGCACCGCGGGGCCGTAGCGGCGTGGCAGCACCGCCTCGTCCAGCAAGATGCGCGTGGGGGCCTGCAGAGCTCGCTCTGTCAGCTCCTCGCCGGAGCGCGCTCGCCGCTGGAACAGGCGGCGGAAGAAGGGCGAGCGGGCCGACAGGATGGCTTTGTGGCAGCGCAGGTCGCCGGGCATGGGCTCCGTGTAGCCTCCGCACACCTCCGTGTACTGCGCGGACACACGGCCGTGGCGTGCATACAGGGACACGATTAGTTTTGAGGTCCTCGAATAAAAGCGCTTTATAAATATTATTATTAATTGTTGTCCTGTGTTTAGTTTTTTGTCCTTCCCCCGCACCTCCCATTATCACGGTTGGCGACCTACAGTACAAAAGAAATTCAACATACATACATGCAAGAGCGAGCGTGCACGAGAAAGGAGAGATAAGAGTTATTGTGCAGACAAAACAAACACAAGGTTACGTAACGCTGAGAAATCACGCGTTCTTAAATTTATTTTAACCAATTCAAAGGCAATGGAAATGAAATATATATTTAGACAATTGCTGTGCTATGTGTTATTGCACTTTCGTAGTAAACAATGTTAGTTATTTAGCCACGAAATAATGATTAAGTCTCAAGGCCCTGTATTTAGTGAATACCGTTGAGGGTTTGGTGTGTGGGAGGAAAACGGAACAAAAACCCCACACACAGAGTAAGGGGTGATAACCAAAACTGAAGCCTTCTGGCCACCTGCATAGCATCATGCCTACAATAGCTGGCGAGCTATGGTAGTCACCCATCCAAACATTAACCAGGCCCTGCTAAGCTTGAGAGATACAATAGGAGCAGACAAATTCATGGTAATTTGGAAACAGGAAAAATGTAAGAGACAGTTGCATCTCCTGTTTCCCAATGAGACATTCTCTTCATTACAAGAGTATGCACAACCCAAGGGGGTTTTCCTCTTGACAACATCCCAGTTATAGACCCTGGGGCAACCAGAAGAAGGATTATAATAAACAAAAACTACTTGGGGGAAAAAACAGAGCACGGGAATACTCCCTTCAACGCAAACGAAAACGAATCGGCTTGCGCTACCGTGTAATCCATGTCGGACGAGAAGCACAGCACGGCATCGTAGTAGCAGCCGCTGTCGAGGAGCGCCAGCAGATCGACAGCCAGCGCGTTGGGCGTGCCAAACTCCTCGCCAAGGCGGGCCAATGTGCTGCCATCGTGCGCCAGCAATCCCTGCTTGCCCGCGTAGCCACTGCCGCCGGCTGCCGAAGCAAAAGAATCGTCAGCAGTGACAAATCCATTGCTCACGGTTCTATCGCTGTGAAATAGTTCTACCGAGCACCTGAACACGACTTGAAGCAGAAATGTTATCCAAAAAAGGTGGCCTTTGCTGTGAACGTTTTCCAAATGTGTTATATTATTATCATGACATATTGAGAAATGGCAGGGCATAATGTCTTCTGAGGAACGGCATTATTTTGTTTTTGTAAGATCTTGATATTTTGCATTGACCAATAATTGCATGTTTATTTATTCAATAATCGTGACATTTTATTACAGAGCCTTCAGCGAATCAAACCTCCAAATATTTAATTAAATAGGACTTACAATTTCTTAACATGAGAGCCCTTTAAGATATAATAAGTCCATTGGAAGGAAGACCAGGGGAACTGAGGAGGTTTCCGATTTGTTTTAAGAGATTTAAAGATCTGCACCCAGAGCAAAAAGTTTAGAAATTGGATCAATGTTACACAACATGTTTTCAACAATAATAGGAAACTGTAATTCATTAACAATACTTAAGTTTGTTACAAAAGGTGTACAAAATGATATTTAGAAATTTCTCCACTATATTTTATACAGCGTTTAGAAGTTTGTATCGTTAGAAGTGTTATATTAGCATTTATTTTTTATTCTAGATTTGCTTATTGAGGCAATGCGCAAGAGAACAATCAAAACGAATTATTTAAAACAGCCCAGTGCACAGAGGCGGGAGGGACTTCCATGATGCTGCGGCCTATTACAGCAATGGCAGCATCCCCTACTTCGAGCGTGAAATGCCCACAATCCGCGTGCTCACCATTAGGGTCGCCGCCATCGCTCTCAGAATCCAATTCACCCGTGTACAGGAAGCGCAGCAGCGCGGAGAAGGCGTGCAGGTCTACGCCGGCGGCCCCCAGGGTCAGCGTGAGTTCCGCGCCATAACCCAGCGTGCCGACCCCGCCAGCGCCGGCCGGCCCTCCTGCCGCAGAGCCCGGCAGGGCCAACCGATTGCGGAAGTACGGACAGCGTGCCACCAGTATGGCCCGGTGCACCGGGAAGCAGGTGTCCTAGGAAAAAGAAGAGGATTAAAATAATTACAAAAGGTTCTCCAAAAAAAAGCATCGTGATGGCAAAAATCACGCGAGGCTTACATTGTTTACCACGAAGAGGTACTGGAACAGTGTAGCATATGGTCAACTGCTGCCCGCCCATCATGATCAATAAACAGTGGCGTTAAGGGATTTCATCAATTTACAACAGAGGCCGCTAACTTGCTATAGAACCTAAACCAATTTCTAACATGCTGCCATTCCAAAAATCAGTTGCTTATCTCGGCAACATGCCGTGTGAACGAAGACTGCAAAGTGCACAAATAAAGCACGCTTGATTGTTAATGTATCCACTGCATTCGCTGCACCCAAACAAAGAAGTGTAATTATATCGGTTCTGAACCCTAAATAAATTGGTAGGTCATAGCAGACTTCACGACTAAAATTCTTAAGTAGGGCGTGAGAGATTTTATAAACAGACATAACGAAAGAAAAGATAACGGACTTGACAATAATAACATGTAAAAATGATTATTTCGCTTCCTTCTTGAGTAAGATTCCAAATGATATCTCAAACGTGAGACCCATGTTCGTGTAAGTACGAGTTATTTTACAACAAGAAAATGTTAAGTAACAACATGACACACCATGCATACAAAGATGCATGAATGAATGACTGAACTATATTCAAAACACAATCCAAATCATAACTACCGCATTAGTGCCAACCCGAAGCCGCATCCAAACGTTGCCCATTGATATTCAACACATGGTAGGATGCAATGTCAATGTATTACAAATAATTATCATGTCTAGCACTTTGACAATCCACTGGCAGATGAAGGCTTCCCCAAGTTGTAATATTGGACCACACACGTCAGCCTGCCGACCACTTATGATAGATGTGGTCAGGAATCGAACTCGTCAACCAGGTCCATAGCACTGTACAAACCAGGTTCATAGCAGTGTGTACTAACCAGCTTCATAGCAGTGTCCAAACGAGGTTTATAGCATAGTGCACTAGCCACTGCTTCTCCCCTGTCAACGTATGATGCAAATTATAGATATCAGGTTTAAAGGTTTGGCAACAAGCTGTCGCTTTTTATGGCCACTACTTTGTTGGATTAATGTGTCACCTAATCTGGATATGCTGCTGTGTTACATGTGCACACTACATAACCTGTATAACCAGTTAAGCTACAGAAACAAACCATTTTATAGCTTGAAACTTAGTTTCAGGAGAAAATTTCAGGACATTGCGTGGATACTCTCAGTATTTCAGCAAGCAATTTAAAAACTGTGTTTTACAAGTTTTATTCTCAATTATATGTATGCTGAACTTCTTTTGCACCGTACATAGCCAACCATGCTTATCAGAGATATGGGGAAAGGACAACAAACTAAACACAAAAAGCAGTTCTAAATAAATGAGTGTCCAATCTAGATTTAAAAGTGCATAGGCTCCAGTGTCTTCCTAATATCGGAAGGCAGAGCATTCCAGACAGCCGGACAAATGCATCCCAAAGCACGTGATGCAGTGACCGTGTTTCTTCGATGGTTCACAAAAAGCCACTGCCGCGAGGATGACTGGAGTTCACGTGATGGTTTATGCTCCCGTGTAGATAATTGGAGAAAAGTACAGCACGATACTCAATCGATCAGCAGGCCCCGTGTGGTGTGTGGCTCGTACGGAAGAGTAGGCCAAATACCCTCCAAACGGGCTCGCTAGAGCTACCTCCCCTGCCGGCGCACTCACAGGACTGCCTGTCACTCCCTTGTGACACCCGCACATCTTGGGTGTCTGTCCAAGAGGGACGTGTTATTACGGCGGTGCAGCTAAATGTAAAGAGGGGGCTCTCTGGAGGGAGCCTTTCTGCCAGCAGTGGCACGAGCAGGCAATTGTAGGGCTGCTCCGGAGGTGTGGGAATTTCTTTGAAGCGTGCTATCGTTATCACGTCATGAGAAAAAAACTAATAATTCCAAACTCTCACAGCTAGGGATGCTCTGTTCCTCAAAAAGCACAAATTATGACATCGCAGAATGTTCCAGTTCCTTGGAATGGCCTCTTTAATCACCCCACGGAACATCTTTGATGAAAAAATAAGAATAGGTTTTACCCTTTCTGGCAATAAAATACGTGTTAAGATTATTAAACACCAAATAGAAATCTTTTGCAAGAAGTCATGTCTGCAGTAACCACGCGTGTGGTAAACATGCAAACAAAAAACATGCATTGTCTTTGAAACTGATTGGTCTACACCAGAGACAGCCTTCTTGAGGGCCTAGTCTCACCTGTGTCAGACCAGAGAATGCCAAAAAGCGAACAGAAGAGGTAAAACCTATTCTAATTTTTTCACACTTTGATACTGTAAAAAAAGGTCACATGTTGGAACATATTTTTTTATGACCAGCCAAGAGTGTTCATTGCATGTCAATCAAAAAAGCACTTTACTTCACAAAATGGGAATAATCTGAATTTTGTAAAAAGAAAAAAATATCACATCTCATATCGTAGTATCATAATATCATGGCTAACCTACCAGTGTGTAATCTGTAGTCAAGTTAGAGTTTAAAGCGGCAGTTAAACATGTAATCTCGACAGGATGTATTATATCATTTACTCAATGGGTAAATATCAAGTTCCTTAATTTTTCCTTTTATAAAACTCATTGTAGTGTTTAGATAAGACAATGGTTGATATGCTCCATTTACCCAAAACGACACACGCACAACGCAGTAGAGCAACCAGGGCGATTGTCGGAGTACCTGTGCACACCATGGCTCGCCAGTGCGGGTTATTTCTGGATAGTACAGTAAACGAATGCTGCACGAGTAATAATGCTTAAAATGGCAACAACGGGTTTTAAGCCAATGATCCCCTCCCCAAAAAAGCATCGGCTTGCATTGCCAAAGCCTAATTCCACAATCCAGGTGGTCACCTCACCGGTCTCGGGTGCTTTTGCGGAATTACCTGAAAGATGAGGTCCATGTCGGTGCAGTACTTGTACTCGTAGAGGCAAGACAGATGGTGACGGAGGCCATGGGCAGTAGGTCGTGCCAGACTCGCCTGCTGCGCAACCTCCTTCAGTGCAGCCGCTGCCTCGTACTCCTCCACCAACGCACTCACCTGAACCCACGCGGCACAATACCAACGCCAGCATGAGAACGCCATCAACAGCAGCGGCGACAGCAGTATCGTACAATGAGACAAACGAAACAACATTAATCATGGAAAGGGCAGGATCAAGCGAGTGTATTGACGACGTGTAATCGGAATAAGCAGTTGCAAGGAGTTTTTACCAGTGGATGAAGAGATCATTTTATTACGATGAGGTTGAAGCATTGTGATTAACAATGATTAAAACCTAATCACCATGCCAAGTGGAGCAGTGATACAGTGATATGCACGCTGCGCTATCAACCTGGTGACCGGAGTTCAATTACAGACCATCCACACTGATCAGCGTGTTGAATTATGTTAAAAAAAAACCACAATGACCGACAAGGCTTGGCAAAAACTTCACCCTTTGGCGTTTTCATTATTGGTGGAAATGTAATTATTTTATTACGTACCAATGGAGGCTGTCAATAATTATGTAAAACAGGTTACCTGACACAGTGTCTACCCACAAAATACTCATGCAGGATGTTCTCCTGGTATTCAGACACTTCACCAAAGGTTCTGAGTTTAATGGCTGAGGGAGATGTTGAAGGGCAGCAAGGAAGAGGGCAAGATAACTGTAATAGAACTTATCCGCTTGAGTTGTCCAGCCTTCTCATCGTGACTTAAGCACAATGTTACGCTCATATAATGGCCACCTTAAGCCTTTAAAAGACGACAATGGACTTGGCTGGAGAGGCTATTTTTGAAGCCAGCCCTTCAGGCTTTGCATCAACTCTTAATGCCCTTCACTGGGCTCAGACCTATGCAAATGAAGGTGCCCTTTCCAGAACTGTCAGAATGATTCCACCGTTTCAGATTGCTTATAGGACAATGGCAAGAGGCACTGACATTGTCACGGCGCAAATGACAAGACTGAAACACCCAAACAACTTCCAATATCATTACCTGGATATAAAAAAACTACTTTAAAATGTGTGTATGTAAATATCAAGGGAAATGGAAGGTAAGAGCAGGAAAACAGATCAGTTGGGAGGGCAATATGAGCAGGTGAATGGGACCATCCACGAGACAGACCAAAGACCACGAGATCTGGAAAGCGTCTCTCATGGGCATCAAACCTCTATAATGACGATGCCACTCAACAGATTATAAAACAATGTCAAAACTGCACATAAACATGCAATAAAGGATGACAAACACTGACCTCTGGCAGAGCCCAGCCGGACAGCAATTCTCGCATCTGCTTGGCATGGTGGGCCGAGCGCCCTGCGCGACGCCGCCGGCTCAGCTTCTGCTTCAGCGTGGCCAAGCTGGGCGCCGCAGCCTTGCGCTTGCGCTCGCTGCGCTGGCGCTCGTGGGAGCCTGGGCGCGACAGCGCGGCCGACGCGGCGGCCCCGAAACCTCCGCTGCTGCCGCCGCCCATCGCGTGCCCGACACTTCCCGGTACTCCGTTGCCACCGCCGCTGCCGCCGCCTCCACCACTCCCCCCGCCGAGCCCAACTCCGGCACGTTTGCTGTCCAGGCTGAAGCCTTGGTGTTGTGCCAGCACAGAAATACCTGCACAAAATACAGGAACACCGTTGTAAACTTGATTTCATGCCTCTAACTTCAGAATCAAATACCACAGCATGGAATGTAATTTGTAACTTCGGCATAATAGATCTAGGCTACAACATATTCACAAAGTAGCACCAGCAAAAGTTGCGTTAAAGGTACATAAATTATAATTTTCAGAATTAATTTTAAGCAATGAACAGGGAGGACAATATATACATTTAATCCATAACTTAAGAGCAATGGCCAAACATTACCAATTGGGACATGAAATGCAAACTATGAAAATTAAATCCGCATTGAAGCAAATTAAACAAATGTTGGAACATGTGGTTTAATTGCCCACATAAATGAAGTTGTGAAAAGGCTATAATTTAAGCAATTATTTTCATCATAACACCTTACGAAGTACCAATACTTTTTCAGGAGGGTCAGGCATTAGGAGGTTTGGCCCATTACATTTTAAGTACTTTGCATGTGGGAAGAAACTCAAGTGCGCATGGAAAACCTAAAGAATGGCATAACAGAAAAAGGTCCACATGGATATTTTTACTATCATATCAACCTTGCTATGTCATCATGTCATGGACCAAGTATAAATTAAAACTCTTACAGGGGAGTGCATCACCCTGTGTGATAGAACATACCTTGAATGAGAATACACAACTTTGTTTATAAGATTGCTTTAAGGAACCGAGGGGGCATACTTAATATATGCCCTGCTATAGAGAAATCTTCTTTACCAAGCAGTCCCGTCGATAGTCAACTCTCAGACTCTAAATTTAGCCAAATTAAGTGAAAACCCCGATATAATTTAATGTTTTTATAACCATCCTTGGTAACTGGGTTGCGACGATCAAATCCCTATGCATGAGAACCCAGTTTGATCATGGGTTCGAGCCCAACATCTCAGCAGTCCTGGTTCAGTGCTGACCTCTGACCCACCCGGCCTGCACAACAAGTTGTTTAAAGGGTCTCTCCCCAGGTGCATTATTACGATTCAGGGTCGTAATAGAATTTTGAAATTGATTTTAATCTATTTTTACCATGTCGTGTTGCATTCTTATATCTTCAGCAATGCGTGTCCAATCTCATTAAATCCCCAATGTTAATCTAACATCAGCAAATAATTTGCGTATAACACGCATAAATCACAAACTAATCAATTATTCATACAAGTGTACAGTGAGTGAAATCATCTATTTGAATATATGAACCAATTATCTGCCTGGTGAATATATTACACACTGGCAACAACACTGCGGTGTTCTCGCGAGCTGACAACGGTACCTGCATTGGACGGATGGTGCAGAGCGTTGATGCGGCCGCGCTGCGGGAAGGAGTGGTGTACGTGGGATGGACTGGCCCCCATGCTCGCTAGAGCAAGCAGAAAAGCATGCTCGCGTGTTCAGGTGCCAAACTGCCACTCTTTCGCTCGCAGGCAAACGGTATCGGACCACGGCTGTGATTTAATGATGTGCCTGCAGAAAATCACAAACAACAAACGTCCAATGAGTCACATTTAGTTGCATATCCTATGACCTCAACCAAAACAATCCCAATTAGTTTAAAATCTGGTTGAGTAAACCTGGCTGAACAAAGTGTTCTGAACAGTATAAATTATAATATAAACACATTTATAATAAAGGACTGTGACTATATATGGAAATAGATAAGGATGTAAAAATGTACGTATAATAATCATTAGCTCTTTGTCAATACACCTCAAGCCGTGATGGTCATTGGGGTTTTTGACCATGTCATCACATCCATGAGTTCAGGTTCAAGGGAGTACAGGGGGATCTAGGACCACTTCAGAGATCACTCAACTGATGTAAGCCATGACCAGGAATCAAAATCATGTGCTCAAGTTTTTTTTGCAATGTGTTACCGTAAATTAGTGCGCCACCACCTCACCCACACTGTGTATATAGATAACATTCCATTCGCAGTAACTGTACCAACAAAGTTAATTGCAAGTACCATTTACAACCTTAAGATACAAAAATACCTTTGTAAAAATTAAAATGTATGATATGAGCAGAGGATCTTTTTAAGCTGACAACTAATCTCCAGCAGATTAAATTTGGTTTAGCACTTATACCAATTATATTTTATCAGCCATGCAGGCTTTTCCAAGATTGGTGGGCCAGGAATTTCACATTTCGACCGAATTTCTATGAATAACGGACCTGAACTACACTCGAAATGCATTCACTATATTTTCTTTAAACATTTGAAAAAATAGTACTTGGAAATTGTTGTTTAAAATGCTAGTGTGTGGCTAAAGAAGAACAAATCTCAACTAGGAAAGTAGCCTATGAGCAGTTCAAGATCTATCCCTGAACACGTTTATGTGCGGTGTAAAGCAACGGAGACACAGTCACTTTAAACTCAATTTCCCACTATAGTGTGGGCACAGGAATGAGAATGTATGGCTCTATTCCAGCTGGTTATGCATTAGGCATTTTATTGGCCAAGATACCCATGAATGCATAAACACCACCCAAACAAAACACCCACACTGGCTACTTCCTTTAATTGTCCTCTGATGTAATCTCCATGGATACTCAGAACCTCCCCACCTTGACGTCTACAATTTCCTTCTCTTTATAAAAACAAAGCAATTCTAATTTATAGCCCTTTTTTTCAATTCACCGATGTGTAAGGGCCTCCCCACACTTGTCGGTCATAAGAGTTGTTTACCCATACTTGACCAAGTTGTTCAGTGTGTATCGGTCAAGGGGTAGGTCAGGACCAATTCAAATACCACTCACCACTCATGTTAGCCAGGAATCAAACTAGGCAGGTCAAGTTGATAAACGCAGTGCACTTAGCATAGCTCCAGCAGTCAACCTTTTTATTCTAATATTAGCCATCATTCATCGGAAGTCAATTAAATGACTAGCAGTTCATGAAAAGTGAATATTGGTTGTCTTGGGGGGAAACTGGCCCCTGCCACACGAAAGTTGAGCTTAAATTACTGGCTCCGGGATTCTCATGCAGATGAGCACCACTCCGTTGACCAGGGGAGAGTGATTTTCTTAACTTTTTCATATATAATTGCATTGAACAAAAAATAAGGCCAATTTTAGTGTACTGGTATTAAACGTTCTCCTTATTTTTAATTGTGTTCATGCAACAGTGGATATATATATGTCGAGAATTTCCATTTCCTTTACAACAATGAGCCTAATCACGTGTTGGAAATATTTTGTCAATATTTGGCAAACCTCTATTACCCACTCATGTTGTTATTTTTTTTATGCCAAAAAAGACTGAATGTGGCCTGCTGCCAACACAAAATGAGCACATTGTCAATTGGGCCTAGAGTATGGATTTAAATGCTGCACATAGAGCACCATAGGTGTGCATAAGTAGCAACGGATGAGGCGTTGGATGCTTCAAGAACTGAACATGTGAACACTGGTGGACACATCTTCTGTTGGTTATATTATCTAACAGGAGCTTACAGTGAATATCCTCATGGGGCCTTAGACTCCGTAAAAGATTGAAGGATAATTCCTACAACCACGTTGTCTCCTCACTCCAACACTGGGGAGGAGCTTGGCAGCTGTAATCCAGTGATGTAAAATCCACACTGCTATGGCTAGGGGCCAGTGTATCCATAGGGTGCCCACTAATGACTTCCCACATTGTTGGTACTTGTTTTATTGTTCCAGGGCTAAGCCAGCCCTCAAACGAAATTGAATGTTCAACCCTTTGATTGTGAGCCAAGTGCTCCAAGGTACCACACCAAGGCAGATGTTCTACATTTCAGGACAAGGCAGAATGCTGCACTGCAGCAGCATGGCATGACTATTCATCACCACCATCAGCCATGGTCAACCAATTCTGGACCAAGGCTTCCCCCCCCCAGCCACTTCCATCTCTCCCAATTTCTCATGAGTTACCCACTAAGTGTCAATTGGTGGATCTTGCAAAAACAGCGAGAATCTAGGAACCATTTATTTCCAAAAACTCCTCTCATCCATAGTCTTTTTAACGTCTGAGGAGTCAGGCAAACAAATCCTCAAATATTCCCATTACACTGCAACAAATTTTTTTTGTCCTGGGTAGTAAGTGTTATTTCCTAATGGTTTATGCCTCAAAAGCACAGAAAATTGCTATTATTCCCCACAAACTTTGCTTTTGTGACCAGGACATTATATTTTGAAATTTATTTGCCAGAACATTCCAGATAGATTCAGTGCTGAGTAAACTTGGAGTAACTTCTAGAACATTCGAGAACTTTCCAGTAATATAAATAGTCGTATAAATGCAGGGGCCTTAAGCCCACCAGTTCAGTTGGATTCCAGCTGCCTAAGTGGATACATATCTGCATTTTTCTGAGTTGGCATCAAGAGGCTGCAAGCATCCGGCAGATGCATTTTGCTATGTCTGCAGCCAATTTATCAAGACAAGAGCGAAAAAGTACTCTGTTGAAGCATCTGCTAAGATGTGTGAGGCCTACAAGGCATATTTTGGCATGCCTGACATGGATCAAGACAAACCCTGGGGACCTCATTTCACCTGTGAGCAATGCAAAAAAACTCTGTAAGGTAAGATGTACAAATTGTTGCTCGAAAATTTATGTTATACATTTTTAAAAAAAATGTAAATTGTAAAAGTTTATTATTTTTACAATTTTCAATGTTATTGAAAAAATATATATATGAAAAATGTTGCGAGAATCTCTTACACATTAGTCATGGGTGAAATACATGTATTTTTTAAGATGGTACAGAGGGGAAAAGAGAGCCATGAAGTTCGCTATCCCAAGAATTTGGCGGAAACCCACAGACCACTCAAGCAACTGCTACTTCTGCATGGTGGACCCTTCCAAACGTCGGACTGGCAAGAATGCACCTGCTATCACGTATCCAGACCTTCCGTCATCCATCACCCCGGTGCCACACTGCCATGAGATCCCCGTACCCACTCCTCCGGAGAGAGAGCAGCCAGTCTTTAGAAGAGAGCAGAAAGTCAGAGAGCGAAGAAGACGTTGTCGATCCAGATGACAATTTCAGAGGTGGAGCTGAGAAGAGAAACCCATACTACCCCAACCAACAAGACCTCAACGACTTGATCAGAGATCTTGGTCTCACCAAGTCCAATGCTGAGCTTTGATGCCTAGGCTCAAGCAGTGGAACTTGTTGGATGAAAGTGTGCAAGTCGTAGGTCAGAGGAAGCGTCACCAACCTTTTTGCAGCTTCTTCATCCGTCAAGATGGGCTCTGCTTCTGCCACAATGTGACCAGTCTGTTCGAGGCAATCGGATTCGCCTGTAACCAGAATGAGTGGCGCCTCTTCATTGACAGCTCATCCCGGAGCCTCAAAACCGTGCTCCTCCATAATGGTAAAAAGTACCCGTCTCTTCCCCTGGCTCACTCGGTGCACCTCAAAGAGGATTACAACAGCATCAAGACCTTGCTGGATGCCTTGAAGCATGATGAGTACGGCTGGGAGGTCATCGGAGACTTCAAAATGGTGGCATTCCTGATGGGTCTCTAAGGCGATTTTACCAAGTTTCCCTGCTATCTTTGCCTTTGGGACAGCAGGCACACCAAGGCGCACTACCACAGGCGGAACTGGCCACAACGGACCGAGTTCTCTGTGGGGAGGAACAACGTCAAGTGGGAGCCACTGGTGGACCCCCGGAAGGTGCTGATGCCACCACTGCCCATCAAATTGGGCCTTATTAAACAATTTGTCAGAGCTGTAGATAAGGAGTCAGCAGCCTTAAAGTACCTTCAAGACTTCTTCCCTCATGTCTGAGGCAAAGGTCAAAGCCGGTGTCTTCGTCAGACCACAGATAAAGAAGATCCTGGAGTGCAATTAATTCCCCAAGAAGCTCACCGATAAGAAAGCGGCTTGGAACAGCTTTGTCGCAGTGGTTCGTGGCTTCCTGGGCAATCACAAGGTCGAAAACTATGTGGAGCTGGTTGAGACTCTGGTGAAGAACTACGCACAATGGGCTGTAGGATGTCCCTCAAAGTCCATATCCTTGATGCTCATCTTGATAAATTCAAGGAGAACATGGGAGACTCGGAGGAGCAAGGCGAGCGCTTCCACCAGGATATACTGGACTTTGAACGCCGCTACCAAGGACAGTATAACAAGAACATGATGGGAGACTACATTTGGGGGCTGATTCGTGAAAGTGATTTACAGTAGAATTGTAAATCTCGAAAAACTACTCACTTCTAAATCTTTTGTAGTAATTTTTGTATTACTTTAGTATAAATACATGTTAATTTTGATTAATATGCTGTTGTTTTCTGACTTTATGTGAACGAAAAGACACAAATTCGCCCGTTTTCTCTATGAAAATGGTAAATTTCAAAATATCACTGTCCTGGTCACAAAAACAAAGTTTGTGGGGAATAATAGCCATTTTCTATACTTTTTAGGCATAAGAAATTATGAATTAACACTTACTACCCAGGAACAAAAATTGTGTTACATAGTGTTATCTGTAG